TTATTGTAGAGATGAGGTCTCGCCAAGTTGCCCAGGCGAGTCTCGAACCCTCAGGCTCAGGCAATCCACTCACCTCAGCATCCCAAGGCGTGGGATTACAGGCTGAGCCACTGAGCCGGCTATCCCTCTCTCTTTAAGGATGCTGTGATTTAGGTCTCACCTGGATGATTCCTAATAATATTCCCATCTCAAGATTCTTAATCACTTTAGCAAAGGCCCTTTTAAAAATATGAGGTAACATTCACAGGTTCTAGGGATAAGGACTTGGATATCTTTGGGGGCCATTATTCAGCCTACCACTGTCTTCACATTTATTCCACATGTAAAATATATTTACTCCATCCCTTCATCCCCCAAAGTCTTAAGCAATTACAACACCAACTCAAAGTCCAAAATCTCATCATCTAAGTCAGGTGTGGGTGAGACTCTGGGTATGATCCATTCTAGGACAAAACTCTTATCTGTGAATCTGGAAAATTAGAAAAACAAGTTATCTGCTCTCAAAATACAATGGTGGGACAAGCATAGGAGAACAGTTATAAACATTTCAATACCAAAAGAGAGACTATGGAAGGAATAAAGGAATCAGTCTCCAGCAATTTTGGAATTCAATCAGCCAAACTTCGTTAGGTTTTACAGTCCTGAGACGAATCCTCTGGACTTTAGGCTTGCTTTCTGTGCCCACAGCTTTCCCCTGCAGGTCTGCAGCTTTGATCTTGGAACAAACCTTCCTTTTTCCTGAAGGGTAGCAAATGTTTCAGCTGAGTAGATTTTATCAGCCTACTTCCTGCCATAGAATTCTGGGAGATCAACAGCTTTTCTCTATTTTGTCTTCTCTCTATTCCTTTCAGTCCAAGTCCTTCTGCTGAAACACTATAAACTTGGACAAGAGTCCTACACCATCTTTCTTGGATAATCTTATTTCTAAGAGCCTTCTGCTAAGATAGTTTAGAGGATCCACCAGTCACATGTTTAGTTTTTTCAGCGTCCTCTACATGAGTTCATATTCAGGTCTTTTGGTCCTTCAGAAACGCTAGCAAAAGATCATCAAGCCTCACATTTGGCTTTTTATAGCTTGCTTTTCTGACAGTGAATCTAATTTTAGCATCTTCTGCAAGCTGGATAGGCTGGGGATT